AGTGTTTTCACCACACAAAAAATAATTTTGGAGAGATAATGCATATGTTAATTAGTGTGATTTGGCCATTCCACAATGTATCCATGTATCAAAACCCATCATGCTGTACAGCATTAATGTATACAATTTTTATTTGACAACTTAATTACTTTTAAAAGATACTTTATAGATGTAATTGAAGTTATTCCAAAATTATCCTGGATTTCAGGATGGTCACAATCTATCATATGATTTCTTAAAATCAGAGAACATTTCCTGGCCGTAGTCCCATACACGTACAGAGGTGTATGATGGAAGAAAGGTCACAGAGATTTAGCATTGCTGGCTTTGAAAAATGGAGGAAGGGGGCATTAATAAAGGAACGTGGACACCTCTAGCATCTGGAAAAGCTAAGGAAAGAGGTTCTCCCCTACAGCCTTCAAAGAGAAATGCAGCACTGCTGACACCTTGATTTTAGCCTAGTGAGACCCATGTCAGACTCCTGATCTGTAGAACTCTAATATGATACATTTGTGCTGTTTCAGCCACTAAGTTTGTGATACTCTCTTACAGTAGCAATAGAAAATGAATAAGAATGCTAAGCATTTAATTTCCATTTATCATCCCTTGCTAGCTAGAAACATAAAAGGGTTCTTTGTATCAAAGCATTCAGTAAAGAATAAGCTAGTTTTAATTTTTCTACAGATAAAGCACATTCTAAAAGACTTTCTAGAGCCTGTTTCTCATTCAAAATATGTAGTGTTTTTATTATATTATAACTCAAAATTAACAACTTTTCTTCCACAACTAAATTGTAGACACCGTCTTCTTACATAAATCCCATGAATCTTTCCTATGGGAGACATAAGAGTACAGATTTTCCATCTCTCTCTAGAATTTATGAGGTTTTACTCAAATGAATGTATTAAGTTTTTCTATATGATGTCTCTCTCAATCTTCAGAACAGTCTAATATTGATCATTCAAAAGATCCAATTTGATCTCTGATCAATAAAATCTGATGGGCTAATGTGGACTTGGTTGCCCTGATGTGCATTCCCACAAACAGACTCTGAGACAAGGATTTAGGTGCAAGTAGCTCATGGGGAGGTATTTTCCGGAATCATGGATAAGTAAAACCTGGAAGGGAGGAAAACCTAATAATGGGTGTTTTTATAAGAGGGTTACTACTGAGGGCAATAGAGCCCCAGTCCCACTGAGAACTCTCCAGAGGCTGTGAACATGCCTCAGAATTGTCCCATAAAGAAGAAAATAACATGGGGTGTTTATCCACCAACTTATATCCCTTGTTGGCTGAGAGTTGCTCTCAAGGATGTGAATTTCCCAGCACACCTGGCCCACACTGCAGGAGCGGAGAATACCCCGTGGTCAGAGAACCTACCTGGGCATAGAAACGCAGAAAACAGCTGACACCGTGTATTAGGGACCTCCAAGCTAAGTCAAAAGGATATGAATGAGGGACTGACTGTGTCAGCATGATCTATTTCAGGGCAAAGGTATGTGATGTTAAATATGTACTACGCATGGATTTTCCAATTCCAACAGTGTGCAAAACCCAAAAGTGTGAAAACTAAAATTAACTTGATCTTGATTAAGAGTTATAATTTCCACCTAATGTCAGATAAATTGACATGATCACTTTCTGGGTTTTCTCAGATAATTTTCATGACTTATTGGTCACTTCAAATTTAATATTAGGTCACATGCAGCTGGCCGCCTTAGGTCATCGTGTTTACAATGTAAACCTACTCGTGAGAAAATCTATGGAAACGAATTGTCTCTACCATGAGGATTTTTCCAGACTGAACTCTTTGGGAAATTTAAGTACTTCCATGTAGACTTATTAGTAGATATTGATATGTCATTAGTTATTTGTACCTATTTAATATATTGCAAATTTGTAATAGATCAAAAAGACAAATAAAGCATTTTTATTCATTATTTGGCCAATCCAATGAAATCTCCCAAATAGTAACAGATTCTGTTATTTCTTTTCTTGGTGGTTGATGGTTCTCAAGTCAACAGCTGAAGGAGAGGTGTGTCATGGTATAAGGAAAGGGCACTCACTTAGACTCAGACGTTCTTGAGTTCATGACCCACTTCTACCACATGTTATTCTGTGGCTTTGGAAAAGTCACTTAACCTGTTGAAAATTTAGTTTTGCATGAGCATCACTCTCCATTACATGGGTAAAAATTGAGTCACTGAGAATGAACAGATTTCTGTGCACTGTACAATTCTGACAGTTTATTCTGCTCATATCCTCCCATTTTTGCCAACTTTCTATCCCCAAGTTGTTCCAAGAGCTTTCCACAACACATTGCCAAGCCTCTGACCTTCCCTTTCTTGCCTATCCTCATTCTGTTATCTCCCTTTTCGGCTGCTTCATTAAGAGAGGAGCTGATAATCTGGCATCGGGACAAAACCATTACTTTGGAGAACACCACAAGGCCATTGCTAGTTTTATCTTTGCCTTTAATGTACTAACGGGAAGATTTATTTTTACCTTTAATAGTAAGATATCCTAAGTCGAAGGCGTGTGGGTACAGTTAAGTCTTAGTTCTATGAAGGTAGAGACTAGGTATGTTTTATTCCTTGTGATATCCAAGGACTCAGCAAATACATAGTACTTATTCAAACATTTGTTGAGGTTACTAGTTGATCCAAAATGTATTTAGTTGTTCAGAGATGCCAAATCTTGCTCAATATTAGGTCTGTGTTTTAGTATCGATCCAAACCTTAAACCTAAACCTACCACTCACTCCAACAGAACTCCTCTCTTATTTTAAGTGGAGATGGTATGAAGCAACAAGTCACCACTCACTATACATACCAGCAGTGCCTGATGCCAAATGGTTGGTGTGTTAACGTAATTTTGTGTACACAACAATGCACACATTCCAATATGGTTAAATAAAATAGAAAAGTTTCAAGAGTGAGAGCACGTAATAGATACTTCTTGGAAATCTATGTGTGATTACCTAACCTTAGCAATTGCAATTAGGGGAAGGAAAATGAGAAAGCAGAATTCAGCTGTGTTTGAGATTTATTTTATATAGGCCTTTTGTCCCTTATAAAAAGAAAACTTGAAAAAGAAGGAGAAAAAGAAGAGAAGGGTGGAGGAGGAAAGCGAAAAGGAGAAACATGAAAAGAGGAAAGAGATAGAGAAGAAGAAAAGAAAGAAAAGAGACATCTAACATTAAAAAGTGTATTTCAAAATCTTTATTTAAAAAATGCTTTGCACAGGGCAATAGAGCTCAGGGAAAACAATGCCCTCTCTTCGACTTGTCTTTCTAAGTAATGTGAGACAGTTGGGCCAACAATCGTGCTCCCCTCCACCTCTTCATCTCTCCATTTCCTAAATCTTAGAAGAAAATACACCTACAAGAGTTTAGCCCCCGAATCCAGTGAAACAGCCATGGAAGGGAGAGACCAGTAAAAATCTACTTCTACTTTGATGGTAAAGGTTGAGAGAAATGCGATCAAATGTTTGAACTTGAGACACAAGCCGGGCTGAACACACTTGGTATTAACTCTGTCTCTTCCCTTGGCCTCAGGCCTTATCTTATTCCTCTAGCATTCCTTGGGATGGGAAAGGCAGGTACCCTCATATGCAAATCATGGTTAGAAGCATTAGCATGTCCACCTCCAAAAACCACATTATTCTGGAGTAGAACTGAACCCTGTCCAAGGGAGCTGAGGTACAGGACATGAGGCTCTGGAAACAGGGGCCATTTCTGTTTTTTTGTTTGTGTATGTGTGTTTGATTGTTTGTTTTTGTCTACTGCACCAATAAATTGGTTTCTTTTTTTTCTTTTTTTAGACAGAGTATCGCTCTGTCACCCAGGCTGGAGTGCAGTGGCACGATCTCGGCTCACTGCAAACTCTGTCTCCCAGGTTCACGCCATTCTCTTGCCTCAGCCTACTGAGTAGCTGGGACTATAGGCACTCACCACCACACCTGGCTAACTTTTTGTATTTTTAGGCGAGACTGGGCTTCACCATGTTAGCCAGGATGGTCTCGATCTCCTGACCTCATGATCTGCCCTCCTTGGCCTCCCGAAGTGCTAGGATTACAGGTGTGAGCCACCGCACCCAGCCAAATTGGTTTCTTTTCTTAGAGTCTGATGCTAAAGAAGTCTTGACTCAGGAAAACCACAAGGGTGGGCTTGGGAAGACTCAGCAGGTTATAATGACTCTCCAGCAAATCATGTCACCATGCCATTTGATGATGATAGGAAGAAAGAGCTTTGAAGATTCATGCATTGAGAGAATACGAGTTAATGAGTAAACCAGATGTGTTTCAGGACTGGGACCCAGCAGTCACCAACCACCTCACACCTGCATTGGTAGCAAACCCGAGCTACGTCATAATTTTCGTTCCACCTCAGCAGATATTTTATAGGTGGAAAAACTGAGCCATAAAGTGAGTAAATGCCTCCCCCAAGGTCACAAGGTAAAGACAATGCAGTTACCAAATATTCTGTCTCCCCAACATCTGTCTTACTGGAATTCTTGATGGGTCGGTACCCCCTTATTATAGTACTGATTTTAACATAGGTGGGTTTTGAATACTGGCTTTTAAAAAATCTTTTCAAATCATTTGTAAATTATGGAAATGTATACATCATATGAAACTTACCATTTTAATCATTTTTAAGTGTACAGTTTAGTGGCATTAAGTACGTTCACCTTGTTGTGCAGTGATCCATCACTATACCTTTTTCATCTGCTCCAACTGAAACTCTGCACTCATTAAACAATAACTTCCCTTTCCCTCATCCCTCCAGCCCCTGGCAACCACCTCTGAATGTTATTTTATAGCAAAAAGAAATATTAACTTTTGAGCTTGGTTTACAACCAAAAACCACAATTACATGCAGGAGAGAGGGGGTGGGAAAAAGAGGTTAACTCAGAACTCAGTGTACTTACAAGACTCTGTGAGTGTGCCCTGTGTGTGTGTGTCTTTAAAAGACTCTCCACCTCCCAGCCCGCCTCCTCACACTTTGCCACTGGGTTGTTCAGTCCCCAGGTTCCCTCAGTCCTCAGAAGGAGCCAGCATGGACAATCTCCTTTATAGTTTTGGAAGCAGGTTTGTTGCCATGGAGTTCACATTTTGACTGGAGTTGAGAAGTATAAAGGTAACCGTTTGTTTTAGTTTCAACGATCTGGCAAAAAGATAGGCTGTTGCTCTTCTTCTGGAAAAGCCTGATTGGTAAGATTCCTTTAAGGGCTCAGCCCCAAAGAGCTTTATCCCATCCCCTCACAGACTAAAAACTAAAGCTTGCAGAGACCTCTGAAGGAAAACCTGTCCCGGGCTCTGTCACTTCACACCCATGGCTAACCCTGGAGGTGGTACTGTTTGCAATGGGAAACTTCACAGTCACAAGAAACAGAGCAATGGCTTGCAAAGCAGAAACTGCACAAAGAATGGAATAGTGAAAGAAGCCCAGGTAAGAGGCACTCTCCCCTACTCTTCTCTGAATTACCTGAACATTTCAATATTTCTCTGTGAAGATATTTGGGACTGTCCTAACTTAAGGTTCATCTTATGAAGTGTTTTTATGTGTTTTGACTGTTGATTCCTTTAATAGAAAGTGCTTGGCTACCAAAAAGTTTAGGTGTGGATTAAGGAGAAAATGTCTTCTGAATGCAAAAGAGGATACACACAGACACTCACACAGCTTTAGGCTCCCTAAAATACAAATGTACCTACTAGACTTTTGTCTCAAGCATTTTGTGGGGAGGGAAGAATTACGAAGGCTCCAACTCTTTGCATATGTTTTAGTCCAAGAGACCTGCTACAACTATCATGCTTCAGAAGAAAAAGAGGAAGTGAAAGTACATTTTGCTGACATTATGTGGTGGAGATGGCATTCTTCCCAGGTCCATGAGAAATGCATCTCTCTTTGAAAGGCGAGTTGTTATTGGTGTTTAGTGGAGCATTGTTATAGCTCACTACTTGATTTGAGGCTACAGTATTTCTTTGAAATGTGACGTCACAGACATTCTTTTCCAAACACTTCAGAAAGCATGGCTCATTGTGACACGCTGCACTCAGAAAACAGAACAGCATCTTTAAAACAAACTTGTAACTTGGCCCTTTTTTTTTTTTCTCTTATTGCACCAGGATGTTTGCAGAGTATACTAGGCAGGAGGAACTCAAGGAAAGTTGTCAGCTTATTTTAAGAGAGAGCCTGGGTCTGTGAGGTCCTTATGTAAGGCAGTTCCCCACTCCCCACAGGACACCCCGTGTCACTCTGCTCTGAGCAGCAGGGGGTGAGCTCATCTGCCCCAGGAGCAAGCCCAAGCAGTCAAACAGGTAGCCTCCTATTGGGAAAGAGAAGTGGCCATGCAATCTTCCATCATTTGATCATCCGGAGAGCACGTATCCACCCACAGGAAAGGCAGATTGTTCTAAGATCACAGGCCAGGTGGGTCTGGCTGGGGCCAATCCTCCACTGAGTGAATTACATTCACGTGTGCAGTTGGACGAGGCTAAAGGAGCTCTGGAGCCTGAGTTGTGTGTAAACAGGCTGTGGTCCCCAAAAGCATGCCCCTCTTAACAAAAGGCACTGTCCAATCCTGGGATATGTCTATCTGAAACCTCAAAACTGACCTGTCCCAGCTGAGGATCTGAAAACTGGAGCAACATGAAGAGAAGGTACTCAGCTCCTGTCAGTTGCATGAAGGAAATTGCAGTAATATCCACCACTTATGCATCACTAAATACCAATTCAGGCCACTATTCAAGATGATCCTTGCCTCTGGAATGCCTGTAACTCACAGGCTATTCACCTACTTACCCTGTTGATCATTCTGACCCTGAGGGATCTCATCTGGGAAGAGATTCCTTCATAACTTTTCTCCCTTTTATTTATTTTATCTTGGTTTGATAATCACATTCGAGGTATGAGATTAGAAACTTAGACAGTTAAAACCACTCCTAAGTAAGGATAAAATCCAGGATTCTAAAGGTTCATTATGAAGTGCAGCTGCAAGACTGTAAATATCCTTGGACACTGAGGCTTCCCTAAGAATAGTCGAAAACATCAGGGCTGCTGTTGCCTTCCTGAAGGGCTATCCAGAGCCTCTTGTCTCAGACACATTTAGGTGTCACTAAGCTACAATTGGCTTTCATTGAGAGCCTCAATTATGGCTTGAAAAATATTTTTCAGGAAAACAAACAAAAAAACCCTGGCTGAGATCATAGTGTAATAGAGCAAACGAGAGCTTATCGTCCCCTCCATGATGGGAACAAAGTTGTCTTTACTCTCATGTTCCTTTGCCACTAGTTTTGATCCTTGGGGCCCTTTAACAAACTAGGTCTAGACCAAAAGCCTTGTCTGTGGATAGAAGCAGTCTGCAAAGGCTTACAGAATCCTAGGCTGCTGGTCTCCCAAACACGTTCTGCCTGGCCTAAGGTCCTCTGCTGCAGCATCTAAGATCCTACCAGCCCCTCCAATGATCCTCCCACCCTTTCTCTTCCCACTTATTTGCAGCCACACAGCAACACTGTTATCTCTTTTATACATCAGAGGATCCTACAAGATTCTGTTGACAAAGAGTTCCCTGGCATAACAAACAATATGAAAATTACTATTAGGCAGTGCTCAGGAGTCCTCTTTCCCTCTGGTCCAGCATAGGCTGCCATCCCTGCTGCCGCATGCAGGTTTGCTGCCCCAGTCTCAAAGCTGGCAAGGACCAGAGCCTTTCCAGTCTAGCAACCTTCTAGAGTTCCTTTCTGGAGATTTTATGGAGCTTGACTATTTTTCCTGGTTTTTTTTTTTTCTTTTTCTTTAAACCTCGTATGTTCTGAGAATGCACAAAAACTGGTTTTCATCACTGATTAAGTCCATTTACTTGTTTATTCCCAATATGGCCTCCTACCTTTTACTTCTAACAGAAGACTATTGTACTAGAGGATTTGTTCTCCCTCCTCATGAGCATATCCACACTACAGACAGATGGGTGCTTACTGTCTTAATCTATAAACTTAATATTTCTTGTAATTTTTATTGAATCAAAATTTTTCCTAATGAATAGAAATTTCCTATTCCTTACTTAATTCTATATAATTACTTTGCAACTATTATCCACATAATTGCTTTTTAATTCCCAGCAATTATTTTCTACCTGGCCATAAACTTTTATTAGGAAAACCAAAACCCAGAAAGGTAGACCTTGTGTCTCCATTGCATTTTCCCATAAGTAGTTCCTTAAGAGGATAGAGTCTGCATTTTCTTCTCTTAAACTAAACCTGCAGGATGAAAAAAAAGTTGTAAAGTTTTCCTAATCATCCCTTTCCTGGAAAACAAAAACGTTTGAGGATTAGAGTTACTGTAATTCAAGGTTTATTGAGTTCTTGACCTGAATGCTGTAAAACCATGTATAGGTAATGAGCCCTAACACGTGGTTGCTTTTTTTTTTTTCACCAATATTTATTAAGCATCTGTTATTCTTAGGACATATAAAGATAAATAAGAAGTTTACAACTTATCTGTTAGGAGAAGGCTTATATCAACATTTTAAAAATCACATCAAAGTTAAACGCTAGTGCAAGGACAACAGCTGTCATAAAGCAGACATAACTTGAGGACAAATGAGTGGTATAGATATTAGTACTGGAAGCTGGAGAAGAGCAAAAATAATAATAAATATCAATGTTCTGCTACATATCAGGAAGCGCTAAGCACTTTAGGTAGGCATCTCCTGTACCTTCAAAACAGCCCCATGAAGTGGTAGTACACTGTCCATTATACAGATGGGGAAAGAAAAATCACTAAGGAACTTCCAAAGAATTACAATCAGCATGGCCAGGATTTGAACCCAAATCCAGGTTGCTTCAAAGCCAGTTCCTTTTTCAGTGTGTTCTAGGAAGTCACAGGTTGGGGTGGTCGGTGACAGCTTCTCAGAGCAGGGAAGACTCAAATTGAACCTTGAGACATTATAATTGCAGATAAAATAGGGAACTTATTCCTGGCGGCCAAAGAGGAAAAGACAGGAAAAGAACTCCGGAGATGAATGTAGGAGTTGCTAGTAAAGGGCATAAGAAAGGTCACAAAGCATTCCAGGAAGCTGTGAGGCACAACAGGTCATATGACTTGAGAAACGTTTCTCAATTCAGTGAGCCTTCGTCGCAGACAGTGAGAGGCAGTGCTGTAACTGAGGTGGTGCTCAGCAGATGCTGGAAGAAGAGAAAGGATTAAGCCACATTACTATGGAAATCATTTCCAGTTTTAGAACCATTAAAGCTGAACTTCTGTTCTCCCCACCTTTCTATATCCTCTTGAAGCCTGCAATATCCTGAAGCTACTCTTCTGCTGTAGTATAAACTTATTCTAGAGAATAAGAGCCGTGACTGATTAAAAGTTTAATTGCAAACAGTGGTAGCTGCCTGACAGCCATGGTAAGTACCAGGGTCTGTGGGGCTCACCTACGCTACCCCCTGATTGAAATAGAGGGCAATATTCTCGCCAATTACTAGGAGAACTCATAAACTAAAAGTTTTAGAAATCCCTTTCAACTGCTCTGAATCTTCATCCTACTCTTGTCTTTGGTATTCATTTTCTAATGCCTTGGTTCCTTGGCTCCTGTTTCCTTAAAACAATCCCCAACGTGGCAAGGTTTCTGCATGAGCTCCTCAAGGAATCCCCATGTTTTCATGGGCTCATCATTTTAAAAACATTCTTGTGTGTCACGTGCTGCAGCCATTAAGATGAAAATATTCTCCCTCCATTTATAAATAGCTCAGAGTCTAAGTAGGAAAGAAAGACAAGCAATTATAGTATTTAATGGTAAGTACTATAATAAATGCTGTGGTTATCTATTCCTGTGTAACAGCGAATCCAAAACCCAATGGCTTGAAACAACAACTATTGGATTGTTCTTGATTCAGGCAGGGGCTGCTAGGGATTGCCCTTCTCTGCTCCATGTGGTGTTTGCTGCAGATCAACTTGCCTGAGCATCCAAGATGACCCCATTCACATGTCCCAGACCTTGGTACCAGCTGTTGTCCAAAGCACCTTGTGTCTACTTCACCGGGACACACTCTGCATGTGGTCTCATTATTCTGCAGAGTAGCCCAGGCTTTTTTACAGGATGACTGGCTTCTAAGAGAGTAAAAATAGAAACTACAAGTGAGAGGCAGTGCTGTAGCTGAGGTGGTGCTCAGCAGATGCTGGAAGAAGAGTGCTACATTCTGCAGACAAAGCCAGTCATAGTCCAGCTAAGATGCAAGGGGAGGAGAAACAGATGCTGTTTTTTTCATGAGAGAAGCTGCAAAGTCACATTGAAAAAGGTTGTAAGGGATTGGAGAGATTATTGTGACCACCTTTGGAAATAGTCCACCACAATAGAAATATATGGACCTTGCATGGGAACACAGAACAATGTGTAACTGACCTACGATGGGAAGACAACTTTCTTCAGAGAGACATTTGACCCAAGTCTT